TTCAAATTTTAAATACAAATTTCACTTTTTAAATGTCAAATAGATTGCCGAGCTTTATTTTGATCGAATTTTCATTTTTAATAGCTTTTTTTTCATTTTAATCGAATTCCACAAAAATTTCTTTTCTCGTTTCCGTTTTTTACACTCGAAAAAACATTCATTTCATTGAAAAGACGCAAAATTGAATTTTGAGTGAAAGGAAAAATCGATCAGGGGAATGGATTTGAATTTTTGATTTGAAATATGGAAAGAAAAGAAAGAAAAGAGGCACCAAGAGCTATGGGAACAATTGCTGATGCATTAAGAGCTATGGGGACAATTGCTGATGCATTAAGAGCTATGGGGACAATTGCTGATGCATTAAGAGCTATGGGGACAATTGCTGATGCATTAAGAGCTATGGGGACAATTGCTGATGCATTAAGAGCTATGGGGACAATTGCTGATGCATTAAGAGCTATGGGGACAATTGCTGATGCATTAAGAGCTATGGGGACAATTGCTGATGCATTAAGAGCTATGGGGACAATTCCTGATGCACCAAGAGCTACGGGAATAATTGCTGAGGCACCAAGAGCTACGGGAACAATTCCTGATGCACCAAGAGCTACGGGAATAATTGCTGAGGCACCAAGAGCTACGGGAACACTTGCTGATGCGAATCCAGTGCTTTAACGGGATTCAAGAATTGTAGAAAAATCAGTATATTTAAACGGCAGAAAAACTTAGAGAATGTGCTTATAATGAAAAAAAAGAAGAAAACAAATCACAAATGTGCTTTTAAATCGTTTTGAGCACAATGGAAATTTGGGCTAGAAATCAAATAAATCAATTAAATCAATTAAATTAATCAATTTAATCAATTTAATTAATCAATTAAATCAATTAAATTAATCAATTTAATCAATTTAATTAATCAATTAAATCAATTCAAGTGAGCACGTGTGGCTGACTGGTTAAGTGTCTTTTATCTTAATCGGAAGGTCGAGGGTTCGAACCCCACATGCGACATGGTCACCCCCTTCGGATTTCCTTTCCCTTCGGGTTGAGAGGTTTTCTGGAGGGCAGTCTGGTGGTTGTGGCCCCAGTTCTTTAAAGTGACAAGCCACTCCTTCATCGTCATCTTCCCTTCACCACCAAAAAAGCTATTTAGTTCCCCATTGAGCTTAGGGTTAGGGAGCCGTCTGTCATGACGTGGGTTAAGTTAAGATATAGCCTAGTATTGCGTGTGTCGTTGTATTGTGATTGATATATTTCGTGTATGCGATAAATTCACCACTGGTAGCCCCAGTCGGTATTTTTTAAATTCAATCAATTCAATCAATTCAATCCATCAATTTAATCAATTTAATCAATTTAATCAATCAATAAATCGATTTAATCAATTCAATTAATCAATTTAATCAATTTAATGGGGGTGGGACAAATGCTACTTTTTTTTTGCGCACCTGGACATTTGAGCACCTTTTTTTGCTGGAAAAGGCCTTAGGAAAGGTCGCCGAAAGGAAAGAGCTTCAAAAATCTTTCCATATAAGGGAATCGTATGCGTAGATTCCGAATTTCGACAAATCAGACCTCGCTGACACGTCAAATTTGGGCTAAAAGGCCTAAAAGGCCAAATTTGGGCTAAAAACTACGCAACTTAACGCTTTTCCGCAGTTTTTGCCTTTTAGCCCAAATTTGACGTGTCAGTGAGGTCTGATTTGTCGAAATTCGGAATCTACGCATACGATTCCCATATAAGGAAATATTTTCGAAGTTCTACGACCTTTTCCAGCAAAAAAAAAGGTGCGCATATGTCCAGGTGCGCAAAAAAAAAGTCGCTTTTGTCCCACCCCCAATTTAATCAATTTAATCATTCAATAAATCAATTTAATCAATGAATTTAATCAATTTAATCAATTTAATCAATTTAATCAATCAATAAATCAATTTAGTCATAAAAAGTAATGAGTTGAAGCCGCTAAACTTTCTTCAAAAAGTTTCTTTTTCAAACTTTTGACAGGAAGACAAATAAAGAAAAGGGGTATTTTTCTGAGACAGAAAAAGATAGCAATGAAATTTTCGGAGAGAATTCTTTTTTTTTTCACACTAAGCTTTGCACAAAATCCTTCTTGACCCAAGAAATATCAAAAAGAAAAGAAAACTTTGAAAAAAAGGAGTGTTTTTGGTTTGAAAGAAAGGGGAAATGAATAATGTGAGGTGCCAAGTTTTTGGCTAATTTCAAATTCGAGATCAAGCCTTTAAATCACCAAAATCAAGTTCAAGTCAAGTCAAGTTTTGGTTTTAAAGTCGTTATTTTATAAAGTTATTTCATAAAGTTTAGAAACTGAATGAACCGTGCAAAAAAGCCGTGCGTAGGCACGGAAAGCCGGAAAGAGGTCGCGGGTTCGAATCCCGGCGCCGACCACCTTTTGTATTCACCACCGCATAAAAAGGACCAGCATTTCCAAATGTTGATCCAATTCATTAAATCCAATCCATCAAATCCAATCTATTAAATCCAATCCATTAAATCCAATCCATTAAATCCAATCTATCAAATCCAATCTATTAAACCCAATCCATCAAATCCAATCCATCAAATCCAATCTATTAAATCCAATCCATTAAATCCAATCTATCAAATCCAATCTATTAAATCCAATCTATTAAATCCAATCTATTAAATCCAATCCATTAAATCTAATCTATCAAATCCAATCTATTAAATCCAATCTATTAAATCCAATCTATTAAATCCAATCCATTAAATCCAATCTATCAAATCCAATCTATTAAATCCAATCCATTAAATCCAATCTATCAAATCCAATCTATTAAATCCAATCCATCAAATCCAATCCATCAAATCCAATCTATTAAATCCAATCCATTAAATCCAATCTATCAAATCCAATCTATTAAATCCAATCTATTAAATCCAATCTATTAAATCCAATCCATTAAATCTAATCTATCAAATCCAATCTATTAAATCCAATCTATTAAATCCAATCTATTAAATCCAATCTATTAAATCCAATCTATTAAATCCAATCCATTAAATCCAATCTATCAAATCCAATCTATTAAATCCAATCCATCAAATCCAATCCATCAAATCAAATCTATTAAATCCAATCTCTTAAATCCAATCCATCAAATCCAATCCATTAAATCCAATTTACTAAATCCAATCTATTAAATCCAATCCATTAAATCCAATCCATTAAATCCAATCCACTAAATCCAATCCATTAAATCCAATCCATCAAATCCAATCCATTAAATCCAATCTATCAAATCCAATCCATCAAATCCAATCTATTAAATCCAATCCATCAAATCCAATCCATTAAATCCAATTTACTAAATCCAATCTATTAAATCCAATCCATTAAATCCAATCCAGTAAATCCAATCCACTAAATCCAATCCATCAAATCCAATCCATCAAATCCAATCCATCAAATCCAATCCATTAAATCCAATCTACTAAATCCAATCCCTTAAATCCAATCCACTAAATCCAATCCATTAAATTCAATCCATTCTTCTTTTTGATTCAACATCATGATTTGAAATTGAAGCCATTTTTTGAATTTTTGAAAGCCAATATGAAAAAGGGGATCACGGAGAAAGGCTATAGTGGTTTGTGAATGGAAAAATGACGTGTGATAGATTTAAATGCTAATTTTTGGGTACTTTTCTCATAGACTAACAATTAAGTAAAGCATGAGGCACTTTCTGGGCGCAAATGAGACAGGTGTCGGTGTAGCTCATTGGTGGCCGGTAAGCGAAAGGTCGCAGGTCCAAATCCCGGCACCAGCCATCTCTTGTATTCCTAGCTCCACCGCATAATGTCCAACTGTCGAGCTAATCCATTAAATTCGAATCTTTTAAGCGCATCAAATTTTCCCATGATTGTAAATTTGGATCTAAGCCAAAATCGATTTAGTTTATAAATTCACAAGAAAAAAAAAAGTGATCAAAAAAAGTCTACAAAGATAAAAAGTCTACAAAGATAAATATTTGTCTAAAAGAAAAGCAAAACACAAAAGTTTCGAGGGGTAAAGAATGCAAAAAAGCTTTTACGATGCAGAAAAGCGCTTTGAATTTTGTTTGAAATTTTTTGGCGATCCGCCTGTGCATATAAAGAATTGAATGGGGAAATATTGGGGGAAACGAGTAAATGGAGAGAATGAAGATGTTGAGAGATTCGATATGAGAGATTGGATATGAAAGATATGGAATAGATAGCTCTAAAGGAAAAAGGGGCCAATCACGCCGGCGACGGCTTTGCCTTCTTTTGAATATCGCATATCGATTTTTGGGAGAACTGAAAAGAAATCGGTGATTCGATGCTCTTGATGCACGAAACAGAGCTTGAATACAATTGAATACGGCCGGCTTATTGAGGATTGAATACGGCCAGCTTATTGAGGTCCACGAGGGTCACGGGATCAGTACAATGCCTACAAAACATAGTTACAAATAAGTATGGATGGGTTGCAGGTGCAAATTAGTTCCAATGTCGGCTAAACCAGGCCAGACCCAGCCTAGCTTTTGGTTTGGTTCTGGGTTCAATGGCTTTGTGAGCCAACAACGCCAGAAGCCAGGCCTGGTTCTTGCTCTGGCCCTTGCTCTAATCCTGGTTCTTCATTTGATCCAAAGATCTTCAAGATTCAAGATTCAAGACTCAAGATTCAAGATTCAAGATTCAAGATTCAAGATTCTAGATTCTAGATTCTAGATTCTAGATTCTAGATTCTAGATTCAAGATTCAAGACTCAAGACTCAAGATCTTCTATTAGATTTTGTATTCAGGTTCTTGGAAATTTCAATTTCAATCAAGACCCAGTCGGAGATGAAATTTAAATCCTTCTACAATTGTACAATATCATATTCTAGGTACTGCAGTTACAAAGTTTCAAAAGAAAGCGCAAGTTTCAGCTTTCGATTTCGCATAAATTTAGATTTTCGAAATCCCCTGACAAGGTTCAAAAGTAAAACGTTTAGATCATATTTCGGTTTTCACCCACCTGCACAAGTCGACCAAACGCGTGCTCCATAGCGTTCGGCTCAAGAAAGCAGCAGTCAGTCTAGAAATTTCGGCATGAAATCAGCATGAAATCGACAATGAAATGTAAATCTCTATGAATCTAAAAGTAAAATATCGAATATCTAATACTAAACAAATATAATTATATCGCTAAACCCTAAGAAAATAGAAAGTTAAGCCTTAAAAGGGGAAGGGAAAGAGGAAGAGTCAGCTTCAAGGGGTACTAGGGTTTCTACAAAAATATCTAGATATAAAATGATTTAGATGATTTAGATAATTTAGATATCTAAAGATAATATAGATACTAAATATATAAATATAAATATAACATATCTAGATATGAAATATAATATCAATATCTAAAATATTATGAAACATGGCTTTAAATCGGTCAAAATCGGTCAAAATCGGTCAAAATCGAGTCAAAATCAGTCAAAATCGGCCAAAAACGGCTGAAACAAGCCGGGTTTGAACTTCGAGGAACTTTTTTTTTGCTGAATTTCTTTATCCAGGCTTTGTTTTATGATATTTTAGAGCTAGATTTGTTATCTTTGAATAAATAGAATCATTTTAGAGCTAGATTTGTTATCTTTAAATAACTAGAATCATTTTAGAAATAGATTTGTTATCTTTAAATAAATAGGATCATTTTAGGTCTAGATTTCTTATCTTTAAATAAATAGAATCATTTTAGGTCTAGAATTGTTATCTTTAAATAACTAGAATCATTTTAGAGATAGATTTGTTATCTTTAAATAACTATTTCGATCTAAAATGATTCTATTTATTTAAAGATAACAATTCTAGACCTAAAATGATTCTATTTATTCAAAGATAAGAAATCTAGACCTAAAATCATCCTAGTTATTTAACGATAACAAATCTATTTCTAAAATGATTCTAGTTATTTAACGATAACAAATCTATCTCTAAAACCTCATAAAACAAAGCCAGGATAAAGAAATTTGGCAAAAAAAGCTCAAAATTTAAACCCCGGAAGCAAACAGGCTCGTTTCAGCTGTTTTTGGCTGATTTGAACGGATTTTGACTGCTTTGTCGTACCGAATTACGACTTTTAAAAAAGGAAAGAGATATTTATGAGATTTTTCTCCGGATTTTTCAATCTTTTTCAATTTTTTCCTCCTTTTCCTTTCTTTTCTTTCTTTTTCAACCTCTTGTCCTTCGGTTTTACTCCTTTCTCTTTGTTGTTCTTTTTCTCGATCTCGTCTTTTCTTTTGCAATCTTGGCGATGAGCGCGGGGAATTTCGCGGTGATGGAAAAGGAAAACAGCGAATGATCTAAAAAAAGAGAAAAATGTTGATTAAACAGGATTTCAGACGGAAATTGTGGACTTTGTGCTTAAATTTGATGCGATTTAATCTTTTTTTTCTCTCTTGCGCACTGGATTCTTCATTTTTCAGCCTCCAATGCAAGAAAATAACAAACGCAGAGCACCAGAAAGGATGCGTTTACAAGTTTGAGCACAAAGTACAAACTTTAACTTATCATTTAATGATTTCAAATGTACTCTGTGCTTAAATCTGCAAACGCACACCTTCCTAGAGCACCAAACTTGACATTTTCTCGCATCAATGCCTGTGCGACAAGAAAAATGAAGAATTAAGTGCAACAGACAACGTGCATTTGCAGAAAAATTGTAAATAAACAAAATTCATCTATGTAAACATCCTTTCTAAGAGACTATTTATAGATTTGCCAAAAAAAAATCGACAAACCTGCATCAACTTCTCGTAATTCATTCCATTCCCCATCGGCAACAGATCCTCTCCATTCCCATCCTCGTAATTCAAGTACATTTTTTCTAAAAAAAAAGTTAGATCAATAATTTTCTTTTATGTAAAACGAGCCGAAAAAACTGAATTAGTTTTTATAAAGAATCAAAGTATAGCTAAAGCATAACTACAATCTAAAGCGTAATTAAAGCATAACTACAATCTAAAGAACAATAAAGCATAACTAAAGCATAACTAAAGCATAATTAAAGCATAATTAAAGCATAACTAGAGCATAACTAAAGCATAACTAGAGCACAACTACAACTTAAAGCATAATTAAAGCATAACCAAAGCATAACTAGAGCATAACTGCAATCTAAAGCATAATTAAAGCATAACTAAAGCATAACCACAAGCTAAAGCATAGTTAAAGCATAACTAAAGCATAACTAGAGCATAACTACAATCTAAAGAATAATAAAGCATAACTAGAGCATAACCACAAGCTAAAGCATAATTAAAGCATAATTAAAGCATAACTAAAGCATAACTAGAGCATAACCACAAGCTAAAGCATAATTAAAGCATAACTACAATCTAAAGAACAATAAAGCATAACTAAAGCATAATTAAAGCATAATTAAAGCATAACTAGAGCATAACTAAAGCATAACTAGAGCACAACTACAATTTAAAGCATAATTAAAGCATAACCAAAGCATAACTAGAGCATAACTGCAATCTAAAGCATAATTAAAGCATAATTAAAGCATAACTAAAGCATAACTAGAGCATAACTAAAGCATAACTAGAGCATAACTACAATCTAACGAATAACTAAAGCATAACTACAAGCTAAAGCATAATTAAAGCATAACTACAATCTAAAGCCTAATTAAAGCATAACTAAAGCATAACTAAAATATATTCTAAGGTTTTCTAAAGAAGTTTGAGCTTTATTGGTCAAAAACGGGCGAGAAAATGCCAGATAGACACATACAGGGTAGCCGCAAATTATCGCCTCACAATTTTACGGCTAGATCTTAACTTTAGCTTCGCGAACCGGTTGAATTCCTTTTTAATATAAAAATTGCGATAATTCTCTACGGAGATCTTTATAAAAATTGTAGGATGTTTTTGAGATTTTTATTAAACGCTTAGAAGATGCGCTCAAAAAAACCACGCAAGTCAATCAGCAGCTTTTCATGAAGTTTTAACGGCTCTCACAACGTTTATTTGACTCTTTTCTGGTTAAAAAGCCTAAAACAAATGTTTGTGATTGTTTTGTTTTGTTTTCAACAAAAATCTTCAATCATTTTGTTTTTAGCTCTGAATGAGCTCTGAATCTGCAATCGGCTTCTTGAAACTGGCAAGTTTCATCGGTTAATCTCAAAGTTAACTTAAATATTTATCCAAATGTTACTCTTAAAGCGCAAATTTATCAAAAAAAGCGAAAAAGAGCGAAAAAAGCTAAAAAAAGCGATTTTATTTTGAAAATGAAATAGAAAGTGCTTGAACAATGTACTGCGCACTCAAATAAACTGCGCACACCTAAATAAACTGCGCACACCTAAATAAACTGCGCACTTAAATGAACTGCGCATTTCAGTGAGCAATTTTTTGAGCGCATCTTCCAAACCATTAATAAAAATCTCAAAAACATCCTACAATTTTTATAAAGATCTCCGTAGAGAATTATCGCATTTTCATATTAAAAAGGAAATCAACCGGTTCGCGAAGCTAAATTTAAGATCTAGCAATTGTGAGGCGATAATTTGCGCTCTTTAAAGTAAATATTCACCCGAGTTCGGTGTTGGTACTTCTTCCCAAACGCACGCTCGGTCGACCTCGATTCTAAAAAAGAATTCAATGCTGCTACAAAATTTTAGTAGTGTATTTTGTGCTCATCTGTAAGTGTATATAATTAAAGGATAGAATTAGATATGTAGATAATTAAAAGATAGAATTAGATACCGTAAATATTGTAATAGTACCCCGCCCCCCATAATGACGGTGCGGAGTGTTGTGTAGTCTAGCTTTGAACGAGTTTTTCTCGACACTGGTTTATGCTACAATGCGCGCTTAGGTATCAAAAAATAGCCCTGAATTTCAGCTATTTTTTGATACCTAAACGCGCATTGTAGCATAAACTAGTGTCGAGAAAGACGCGTTCAAAGCTAGGCTACCGTATTTATTCTAATAAACGCCCCCCTCGACCAACTTTAGACGCCTCGTTCTCAGTCCCATTTTGAGATATTTTTATGTTTAATCTACCAAAAGATAGCCCTTAATGTATTCTATCTTTTGGTATATTAAACATAAAAATATCATAAAATCGGGCTGAAAACGAGGCACCTAAAGTTGGTCGAGGGGGGGGGCGGTGTTTATTAGAATAAATACGGTAGCCTAGCTTTGAACGCGTCTTTCTCGACACTGGTTTATGCTACAGTGCGCGCTTAGGTATCAAAAAATAGCTGAAATTCAGGGCTATTTTTCGATGCCAAAGACGCATTTTTTGAAAGTACGGGTGCTTTGAAAAAAAAATGAAATACTAAAAAACTTTTGCGACTACGCGACTGTACGCGGGGGGTGGGGTACTAATAATAATACTTTATTCAAACGATAAAGTGAAAGAAATCATAGAGAAATGCACAGTGATACTTAATCATACAATACATACTGAAATCAATAAGCCAATTACTTACGGCAAAGAGCCACTAGATCTAAAGCATCGATACGTTTCTTGAATATGAAAAGCGACTGAATTTCTCGTATGTCGTTTGGGAGCAAGTTCCATAATCTAGCGGCTCTAACGGGAAATGAATTTGATAAAGAGGCATTGGAAGCAAAGGGAATTTGCAAAAGGAATGAGCCACTTCTGGGCCCTGACCGCGGTTTAAATTTGAAAAAGTCTATAAACAAAGGGCTAATCTGTTTACAACGGAGGATTTTGAAAGTTTCGACTAAATACTATTACAGTATTTACGGTATGTAGATAATTAAAGGATAGAATTAGATGTGTAGATAATTAAAGGATAAAATTAAAGTATAGAATTAAATTTGAAATCTCAAAAAAATCAATATCTAGTCAGAATTTTTTTTTTCTGTAGGTGTGAGAATTCTATTTTCTTTTTTCAGCTCCATGTTGACAGTTCTCTTTTTTTTCAATCATCCACCAGTCGGAATTTGCTGTGTGTGTGTGTGTGTGTGTGTGCTTGATGCGTCATATTTGCGGATCTTTTCAAAAATAAAAGGTTCAAGTTCGAGAATTTTCTTGACAACTACTACTTGTGCATTTTTTTAGCACTTTTCTCTTTGTTTTTCTAGTAAAAAAAGAGCTAAACTAGATAGAAAAAGAGCTAAATTAAGTAAAAAAGAGCAAAATTTTCGTTAAATTTAGCAAAATTTCGCTTTGAAACATTCAACAATGCATTTGTTTCAATTCATATTTTTCTTTCTGAATTGAGCTTAGTTCAATTTTTCAAAAAAACCTTTCCCAACAAACCTATCGAATTTTCGTTTCACTCGTAAATGCGAGAATTCACTCATTTTTCGAAAAAGAAAGAAAATATAAAGCTTTTTATCAAAAGAATCTAAAGCTTTTTATAGAAAATACGAATTTTTCAATAGAGAATATAAAAAATTCCCTTTTTTTTGAGAAAAAAAATGTTTAAACGGGATGAATCACGAAAGAAAAAAAGAAAATGGCAACATTTTCGAGGAAAAAAAATCGAAAAAACTGAAGGAGGATTGGGATTTTTGAAAGAAAAATATAAATTTAGATATTTTTTTATTATTTTATGCTGTTCTTAAAACTATTAGTGATAGAATTTTTAAAAATAATTAATTACTCACCGCCGTAAATGAGCTGAATTGCGTTTGCATCCCGTTTTCACGTAGACCTCGTCTTTTTCGATTCTGAAAATGGCAAGCTATGTGGATTTTTCGTTTCTTTGCATATTGAGCCACCGTCTACGTGGATTAGCTATATAAACTATATAGCTAAACGTCAATTCGATTATTGGATTGGATTATTAGAGTGATGGGAATGATCTTTCCATATCTTTCCATATTTTTCCAAAAATAGCTCAAATATCTTTCGAAAAATAAAAAGATTGAAAGCCTCAGCCAACAATTGTTGTATACTGTTCAAAAGCCATGAATCTCCTCTACAAACTAGTGCATAAAGATTGATTGAATTCGATTGGTTATTGGGGAGTTGGATGTTAAAAAGTAACCGCAGCTCGAGTTCCATTACGGTTACTATTTGATCCCAATACGGCTCCAATACGGTTCCAATACGGTTTCAATACGGTTCCAAAACGGTTCCAATTTTGATCCAATACGGCTCCAATGAGGTTCCAATACGGTTCCTATTTTGATCCAATACGGTTCCAATTTTGATCCAATACGGTTCCTATTTTGATCCAATACGGTTCCAATTTTGATCCAATACGGTTCCAATTTTGATCCAATACGGTTCCAATTTTGTTCCAATACGGTTCCTATTTTGATCCAATACGGTTCCAATACGGCTCCAATGAGGTTCCAATACGGTTCCAATACGGTTCCTATTTTGATCCAATACGGCTCCAATGAGGTTCCAATACGGTTCCAATTTTGATCCAATACGGTTCCAATACGGCTCCAATGAGGTTCCAATACGGTTCCAATTTTGATCCAATACGGTTACTATTTGATCCCAATACGGTTCCAATACGGTTCAAAACGGTTCCAATGAGGTTCCAATACGGTTCCAATACGATTCCTATTTTGATCCAATACGGTTCCAATACGGTTCCTATTTTGATCCAATACGGTTCCAATACGGTTCCTGGTACCTGGGTACCTGCGCCCGCTGTCAACTATCGCTTCCACGAATCTTTTCGCTTGAATTCTTTTCCAGTAAATTAAGAATATGCATTACTCAATATTTATACAAAAACTTAAACGACTAGCTTGGATCCTAACTTTGTTGAGTGACTTTTAAGTTGAAAGGTCAAAAATGACAAAATTTTTGGAAAATTTGTTTTTAGTAATAGCCATGCCTGGGTTTTCTGTTAGAAAATACTGTCAATTAAAGTTATTTCAAAATAAAAGAAAAGAAAAGAACTCCTTTTGTTTATTTGTTTATTTTGTTTATTCGTTTTCTAGAGCTAAATCTTTGTTTCTTTCGAAAAAGCCACATTTTAGGCTAAAAACGACTACTTTCAACTTTGGATTCAACTAGAAAATACTAAAAATGCTAAAAACGACTACTTTCAAATACTAATAAATACTTTATTTAGAAAGAAATAAAGTACGAAAACGACATGAAAAATGTACCAGATAAAAGATCATAAAGTCACTTAAAATGCAACAAAGTAGCCCTTTTAAAAGCAGACCCGGTGGAGATCAAACGCAACTTTTCGGGAAGGATAGACGATAGAATATCACGATAGGATCTAAGCTAGTCGTTTAAGTTTTTGTATAAATATTGAGTAATGCATATTCTTAATTTACTGGAAAAGAATTCAAGCGAAAAGATTCGTGGAAGCGATAGTTGACAGCGGGCGCAGGTACCCAGGTACCAGGAACCGTATTGGAACCGTATTGGAACCGTATTGGAACCGTATTGGAACCGTATTGAAACCTCATTGGAACCTCATTGGAACCGCATTGGAATCGTATTGGAACCGTATTGGATCAAAATAGGAACCGTATTGGAACCGTATTGGAACCTCATTGGAGCCGTATTGGAACCGTATTGGATCAAAATAGGAACCGTATTGGAACCGTATTGGAACCTCATTGGAGCCGTATTGGAACCGTATTGGATCAAAATAGGAACCGTATTGGAACCTCATTGGAGCCGTATTGGAACCATAATGGATCAAAATAGGAACCGTATTGGAACCTCATTGGAACCGTATTGGAACCGTATTGGAACCGTATTGGAACCTCATTGGAGCCGTATTGGAACCGTATTGGATCAAAATAGGAACCGTATTGGAACCTCATTGGAACCTCATTGGAACCGTATTGGAACCGTATTGAATCAAAATAGGAACCATATTGAAACCTCATTGGAACCGTATTGGAACCGTATTGAAACCTCATTGGGGCCGTATTGGAACCGTATTGGAACCGTATTGGAACCTCATTGGAGCCGTATTGGAACCGTATTGGATCAAAATAGGAACCGTATTGGAGCCGTATTGGGATCAAATAGTAACCGTAATGGAACTCGAGCTGCGGTTACTTTTTAACACCCAACTCCCCAATCATCAATCGAATTCAATCAATCTTTTTGCATTATTTTGTAGAGAAGATTGATGGCTTTCGAACAGTATACAACAATTCTTGGCTGAGGCTTTCAATCTGTTTATTTTTGCAAAGATCTGTGAGCGCTGGGATCTGTGAGCGTTTCATTCCCATCACTCAATAAATCAATAAGCAAAAATCAATAAGCAAACCTTTTCCTTTTCCAACATCCCTTGAATCCACTAGTTTCCGGTCGGCTGCTCGTTCCACCCATCCACCTCTAGAAAGTATATTATTCTTCTCAAATCTTCAAGAGCTATTTGTTTACTGTAAATTCAATGCGCCAGAAGAGACGCGCTTTCAAAATTTGAGCACAAATTTGAGAGCACAAAGACAGCTCAGAACAGCTCCGAAAGCCATGTGGGAGGCGCACGTTTACGCGCTTTTTGGTGGTAAAGGGTCATGTTCTTAGTACCATACCTACTATATACTTATAATCTAAAAACAACTCCATTTCTTGTGCTATTTCTTTCTATTTCTTCAAAAATAAACCTTCCATAAAGGAAATGTCAAAATTTGCGTGTACGCATCGTGCAGAGAGCCAAGGAAAAACATTTAGTGAAGATTTTAGATAAAAACTTCGAATCACTGTCAGAGCTAATATCTAATATTAATGTCTAATAATGAAAATGTTCAAAGTTTCCACTTCGTACACAAGAAAAAGGATTAAGTTTTTAGGTTTTAGGCGAAAAAAATTCGTCACAAAATTTCAAGAAGGAAAACTCCACAAATTTCATCTGATAATCGCTTTTTTCGAATGAAAAAATTGAAAAAATCAGATTATTCGATAAAGGAAAAGAAGGAGTTTAGCGTGAAAATCTGAAAAATCAAAAAAATTCCCTCAAAATTTGCTTCGGTCAAGTTTTTGGAGAGGAAATAAGCCTTTTTTGGGGCGATAAACCATTGGGGTGAAAGGTTGGCGGGGTAAAATTCGATTTGTTTTTGATAATCGATTTAATTTCAGTACGATGTACTATTTCAGTACTATGTAATATGTAAAATGATATACAGTCATCATAAAAAAAAAAGGCTTGCTTGTCTCCCAAATGATTAAAACAAAAAATGGGAAAAATGATGGTTTTAGAGAAAACTTTTTGGATAGAATAATCTATTCAAAACTATCTATTCAAAACTAGGCTTTCGTGCTGGTCGGCGAGCAAGCAATCAAGCTAAATCGTTTTTCCCATTACATTAACTCCGAAGCGCGCCTGAAGCATCTTGTACGCCTGAAGCATCTTGTACGCCTGAAGCATCTTGTACGCCTGAAGTATCTTGTACGCCTGAAGCATCTTGTACGCTTGAAGCATCTTGTACGCCTGAAGCATCTTGTACGCCTGAAGCATCTTGTGCGCCTGAAGCATCTTGTGCGCCTGAAGCATCTTGTGCGCCTGAAGCATCTTGTGCGCCTGAAGCATCTTGTGCGCCTGAAGCATCTTGTGCGCCTGAAGCATCTTGTACGCCTGAAGCATCTTGTACGCCTGAAGCATCTTGTACGCCTGAAGCATCTTGTACGCTTGAAGCATCTTGTACGCCTGAAGCATCTTGTACGCCTGAAGTATCTTGTACGCCTGAAGCATCTTGTACGCCTGAAGCATCTTGTACGCCTGAAGCATCTTGTACGCTTGAAGCATCTTGTGCGCCTGAAGCATCTTGTACGCCTGAAGCATCTTGTACGCCTGAAGCATCTTGTACGCCTGAAGCATCTTGTACGCCTGAAGCATCTTGTACGCTTGAAGCATCTTGTGCGCCTGAAGCATCTTGTGCGCCTGAAGCATCTTGTACGCCTGAAGCACTCCATTAGAGCTCTTGGGTCCTTCACGAACATCCTAATCAATGCACGATCCTCCCTGTTGTCCTCATCTTGCATGAATAACCATCCTTGTCCCATTTTGGCTCGTGCATGGGGTAGCATGAGTCTCCAGCATGTCCTTGTACTTATGGGCATCCATGATTCCGTCTATCAAAACCAGCAGACCAACGTCAATAATTTGGCTATAAGCCTAATTTTTGATTCTCTACAACTTTTCTATTGACACCAAAATGGGTTTCTTTTGAAGAAAGTGCTCAAACTGTGCTCAAACTGTGCTCAAACTGGGACATCTCCAGTCCTCCATTTTTGAGTCTCACACTTGTCTCACACACAAACCAAAATCCTACTACGAAAGAGGAATCCGCAAATTGCCTGTAAAATGGGCAGAAGTCGTCAATAATAATGGAAATTATTTGGAATGAATTGATGCTTTTATGTTGAATAAATTTTCGTTCAAAGTCCCGCAGTTTTCAATTCACCAACCCAATACATTGTTTAGACAGAGTAATCGTCATTCTGTCTAAACAGCGTATTCACGCCTAATTTCCCAGGCGCCAAGCACACTTGACAGGGCGAACTTTCAACGTTTGGTGAAATCTATATGTCGTAGCCGCTAACGAATGAAATTTTTTCATTAGCCGCTAACGAATGATTCGTTAGCGGCTAGCCGATTACGAATGAATTTTTTTCACTAGATGTGTACGAAATCTTTGTAATTGGCTTCTGCGAACATGGCTAGCTTCAAATGAACTTACCACGTTTTTGGGTTTCAAATTTTTTTACACAAAAAAAAGAAACGAGAAAAAATTTGATTTTGAAGCGAGCTATTATAATAATGTTTTGATCTGTCTTCGCACTTAGCGCAGATCACAACCCGCTTCCACATTTACTGAGGCAGGAGTGTGGTTGTCGTAGCCGATGATACTCCGATGGCCGGGCTGGGGCGCTCAGAGGGGAGCCCATGGGAGTCGAACCCACGACAAGCGAGCTATTAAAAGTTTTCAAAATACCCCTTTGCTGAAATTGGGTCCTCCGGGACGAGTCCTCCCCATTGTTATCAGTGATTTCGGATTAATTTTCTTTCTGCTTTTTTATTATGCTTTGGTTTCATTATACTTGCTTTATTATATTTGTTGTTTTTTTCAGGATGAATTCATTTCTCAACCAACTTGACGCGTATCAAATTCTGAAAAAGCGAACGCATATACTAACGACGAAAAAATACGATGAAATTGTGAACATATTGACAACAATGTCAAGTGAAAGTGAAAGCGAGAAACGGAGGCGAACGACAGAAGAGGCGAATTGGGCACGTCGTTACTCGATTCAATGTATTGAGCAATCAATGATACTCTACAATCATGGAGACAAAGGAGAGAACGAAAAACCAAAACGAGTCGTCAAGAAAGAAGAACTTTTCGATGTTTTGACGTCAACTCACAAAAGATTAGGACACGCCGGCCGGGACCTGATGTGGAAAGAACTGCGAGGAGATTATCACGGGATCCCAAAGGAAATACTCGAGATTTTTATCAAACTTTGCCCGGAATGTGAATTAAAGAAGGGGACACCAAAAAAAGGAGTTGTTGCGAAGCCGATCATAGCGAAGGAGCAAAATGAACGCTGCCAAGTCGACTTAATTGATCTTCAATCGGTTCCGGACAGCGACAACAAGTTTCTGATGGTTTATCTTGCAGTAATTCTTGCATCAACAAATAAACAGTTTGTTTTTATGCATTTTAGTTGATGTTTTGTTAGTTATAAACGTTATTATGTTATAAACGTTAATATGTTATAAATGTTAAATGTTGTAAATTTTATTTCACTCGTTGTGATTAGTTTGCTGATTTGCGTTTTGCATAAATAGTTTGAAATCAAAGGCTAATTTGAATTGAGCCATGTTCGCAGAAGCCGATTACAAATCGTGCACGGCTAGCAAAAAAATTTCATTCGTAATCGGCTAGCCGTTAACGAATCATTCGTTAGCGGCTGAATTTCGTAAGCGGATAGATATATAGATAGATAGATATATGGATAGATAGATAGATAGATAGATACTTTATTCAGGACCTGAGATAAAGTGCGCTAGATTTAAGATGAAAACACATGAGTTCATACACATAACACGAAAAGGGCGGATAAAAAGCACGATATAATATATGGGTAGCACAGATAACGTCAAGGATCCACTAGAGCTTCAAGATCAAGATCATCTACAGATAATTTAAAGGATATTAGATCTCTTTTTACAATGGCTTTTGTTTTGAGTGTAAAACTAAACCGATTTTTGCTCTTTAAAGCCTCTGGCTTGGCAATGGTCACTTAGTGAAATGAATGAATAATAATGGAAATGAAATAATAATGGAAATAATTTTTAGAAAAAGGAAACAATGTTCTTTTGGAAACTATAGATGTGAAATCACTACAATGTAGTGAAAAAGCTGATCAGGTGTACTTTGTGCTCAAATTTGTAAACGCGCCTCTTCTGAATTGTAAACGCGCCTCTTCTGAATTCCTCGTTTTCCTCACAAGAAAGTGAAGATTTCTGGCATTTTTAGAGAACTTTTCATTAAAGTCTCCTTTTTTTCTCAAATTCCAATCTTTCCCAGTCTCCAAACCCTTTTATTTTTATATTTGTCCCCTCAAAAATCCCTTATCAATCACATTTTTTTGTTTCGGGAGTCGGAAACTTCTCAATAATCAAAAAAAACTCAAAAATATCTTAAATATCTAAAATATTTAAATTTTAAAATTTAGAAATGAATTTTACCTTGATTTTCTTGATCCGCGACCCCGGATCGGGCTGGCTCATCAACACTGAAAGAAAAAGTTGTATTTACCGTATTTCTTCGAATAGAAGACCGGGTAAAGAGTATCATGCTCCTGCGTAGCAGCCCTGCGTACTCCAGTGTAGCAGCCCTTTTTAAAATTTCTTTTCTGCATAAAAGTTTCAATGAAGTGCTATAGGGCTGGAAAATGGCTCAAAAATCTGTTAGCTCATGCGGTATTTTTGAGTCATTTTCCAGCCCTATAGCACTTCGTTGGAAAGCTTTTATGCAGAAAAGAAATTTTAAAAAGGGGAGTACGCGATGATACTCTTTACCCGGTCTTCTATTCGAAGAAATGCGGTAAAATTGGAAAGCAATTCGAATTTAAATGAAATTAAGCATTTAAATTAAGAAATTAAATGAAATTAAGCATTTAAATCAAATTAAGCATTCAAATTAAGCAATTAAATTAAGCAATTAAATTAAGTAAGACATTCAAATTAAGCAATTAAATTAAATTAAGCATTTAAATCAAATTAAGCATTTAAATTAAGCATTTAAATCAAGTAAGACATTCAAATTTATCTATTTAATATATTAAAATTGAAAAATCTTTCTCAACGCCAAATCCATTAG